GCATATATATATATATATATATATATATATATGCATATATATATAAAGAGATCTTCGAGTTTTCTTTTATTTACTTTTTCTTCCTTTCCTTTTCTTATATCCATACATACACACATACATACATACATACATACATATGTATATATATATATATATGCATATATATATATGCATATATATATATATGCATATATATATATGCATATATATATAAATATATAATATATATATATATATATAAATATATATATGCCTATATATATATAAACAGACAATGTCTTCGAGTTTTATTTACTTTTCTTCCTTTCTTTTCTTTACATACATACATACATACATATATATATATATATATATATATATATATATTATATATATATATATGTATATATATATATATATATATATATATATATATATATATATATATATATATATATATATATATATATATATAAAAACAGACAGTGTCTTGAGTTTTTCTTTATTTACTTTTTCTTCCTTTCCTTTTATTATATACATGCACACACACACACACATATATGTATATATATATATATATATATATATAAACAGACCATGTCTTCGAGATTTCTTTATTTACTTTTCTTCTTTTCCTTTTCTTATATATATATATATATATATATATATATATATATATATATATATATATATATTTATATATATCCTACAGTTATTTAATATATTTTTTATTTATACGTTATTTTAATAGATTTAATTAAAAGGTCTGTTTTTTTTTGTTTTTTTATAAATAAATACTATTAATTATATTTACCGGTCAGAATTTTTTAGAAATTTCGTAGAAAGTATGCCTTCTCTAAAAGGAATCGAACCCGTGTCCTATACGGAACCGTTGATTGATCTGACGTGCTAAATAATTCCTGTCACCCTGTGTAATGATTAGGTCATCTCTATGTGTCAGCGTCACAAGGGCCGCTCGTTCGCCTTCACTGATATATGTTGTGTACCGTGTTTAGGGTCATATGGAATTAAGTGAGTTTCTTCACACTGCCCGTGTGTATGAGGATGATATCATTTATGTATATAACAAGAGATACATATATATATATATATATATATATATATATATATATATATATATATATATATATATATATATATATATATATATATATATATATATATATATATATATATATATATATATATATAGTTAGTTGCCGTTTCATTTGTATTCGTTTCATTCCAGATGGACAGAAAGTTATCGCAAGTTATCGTATATTTCCTGTCTCTCCTCATTCGGGAATATTTAAAGTCAGTTGCATCACAATTTTGGAAATAGTCGATGTTGAATAAAATGATTCATCAATACATTTTCGATTATTTTTTTCTCCCAATTTCTCTCTCTTTCAATCATGGCCGACAAATTATTTGATTTTCTTTTTTTTTTTTAATAAAGCAAGAAAAAAAAAATGAAGAAGCGGCAATCTCTTTATTTTAGTGCCGGTCAATTTATTTGCTATTAATTCTGGCAATTTTTTCATCGTTTTTAATTTGTGTTTTGCTTTCCAAATGTTTTCTTTCGTTTTTTAGTTTTCTTTCATTTTGCTGGTATTAACAAATTTTTTCTCTTTGGTTAGCGATTAGTTTTTAATTTCTTTATCGACTGCTTTTTTATATTCTCCTTTCTTTCTTTCTTTCTTTCTTTTTTCATTTTTTCTTTCTTTCTTTCTTTCTTTCTTTCTTTCTTTTTTCATTTTTTCTTTCTTTCTTTCTTTCTTTTCGATTAATTTGTTTTTTTTTCTTTGCACGATGTGTTTCTTTTTATTTTTCATTCTACATTTCTTTCTGCCACTTTTTCATTTTTCATAATTTTTCTGTTTGTATGTCTTTGCTTCTTTCTTTCTTTCTTTCTTTCTTTCTTTCTTTCTTTCATTTTTTCTTTCATTCTTTCTTTCTTTCTTTCTTTCATTTTTTCTTTCATTCTTTCATTCTTTCTTTCTTTCTTTCTTTCATTCTTTCTTTCGTTCTTTCTATCTATCATTCTTTCTTTCTTATGGTCTTTTATAATTCTTTTATTCTATAATTCATTCCTTAATTCATTCTTTTCTTCTCTCTATAACATTTTCCACTCAAAAGTAAATTTTTGCTGACGTAAAGTAAATTTTTGCTGACGTAAAGTAAATTTTTACGACTGAAAAATAAATGTTATCTAATCAAAAGTAAAATTTTAGAAATTTTTTAAATCGAAATTAAAATTTTATAAATATAAAAGACGTTCGTTTTTTTTTTGTTTTTTTTTTGTTAGAAAAGTAAAAATATGTTTTTTTTTCCTTCTCTTTTCTCTTTACAGGATCTTAGGAATTTTGAATAATGGCGTATTTAAGACAATATTACTTCGTTCAAATGACTTAGTCTGTAAATTCTTACCATATTTTCCAGCGCGTGGTTTGTTTTGTTTTACAGCATATCAGCCTAAATGGGTTATTTAATGCCGACAAGATTTTTAAGGCTGGTATTTTTTTTAAAAATGTATTGTTGGCAATATTTTCTTCAAAATTCTAGTATAGGAATTTTTTTCTTCAAAAACGTATTGCTGCCAATTTTTTTCTGCAAAAATCTAGTATATTTCTTCTTCTTTATTGTTGTCATTTTTTTGTTAAAAAATCTATTATAGGTATTTTTCTTCAAAAATGTATTGCTAGCAATTTTTCTTTTTTTCTTCAAAAAATGTATTGCCGGTAATAATTCTTTTTGAAAATTTATTACTAGTAATATTTTTTTTACAAAAATTATATTGCTGGGATTAAAACCTATTTTTACACTACTTATAGTGTTTTGACCCCAGTTTGCGAGTTCACTATTTGCCCATAGATGGGACCCTAACAGGTGCTATCACCCCGGGTCAGGAAGGACCTGGGAACAACAGCAATTAAGAGGTGGTTCCATGCTCCCCAAAAACCTCATTGCTGTTTGATGTAGTTCATCGTCTTACCCAGGACGTAGATGTAGTTTATCGTCATATCCAGACTGAAGAATTATCTATCAACCCTCCCCCCCCAAAAAAAACTTCATCGAAATCGGATGAAAACTGTGGAGATGTATAAACAACATCCGACCCCCCCCCACACACGTACACATTTTGAGAATTATATATATATATATATATATATATATATATATATATAGATAGATAGATAGATAGATTCTAATTAGCATCTTTTTGCTACTGTTTCTTTTGAGACGTCATAGTTATTAACATGCTCTGTCCATAGAATTCTCAGCATCCTCCGGTTGAAAAAAATCTCTGGTGGTTCAAGTAGCTTCTTCATTTGTGAATGAATCAAAGAATTATAAACTATTATAAGAAAAAAAGAAAGAAAGAAAGAAGCAAGCACATACAAAGGGAAGGAATTTTTTAAAAGAAAAAAATGGAAAAAAAAAAAGAAACAGTCCGTGAAAGAAAGAAACAAATTAATGAAAAAGAAAGAAACAAAGAAAATAGAAAGAAAGGGAGAAAAAATGAAAGAAATAAAGAAAGGAAGGCGGAAAGGATAAAAGAAAGAAAGAAAGAAGAAAGGAAAGAAAGAAAGAAAGAAAGAAACGAAGAAAGAATGAAATAAAGAAAAGAAGGAAGAAAGGATGAAAGAAAGAAAGAAAGAAAGAAAAGAAGGAAGGAAGGAAGAAAGAATGAAAGAAAGAAAGAAAGAAAGGAAGAAAGAGAAATAGAAAGGAAGAAAGAAAGAAAGAAAGAAAGGAAGGAAGAATGAAAGTAAGAAAAGGAGGAAAGAAAGAAAAACACAAGAAAGAATGAATGAATAAATGAATGAAAGAATTATAAACTACTGTAAGAAAGAAAGAAGAAAGGAAAGAAATAAAGAAAGAAAGAAAGGAAGAAAGAAAGAATGAACGAAAGAAAAGAAGGAGGGAAGGATGAAAGAAAGAAAGAAAGAAAGAAAGGAAGAAAGAAAGAAAAGAAGGAGGAAAGGATGAAAGAAAGGAAGGAGGAAAGGAAGGAAGGAGGAAAGGAAGGAAGGAGGAAAGGATAAAAGAAAGAAATAAAGAATGAATGAAGGAAAGAAAGAAAGAAAGAAAGAAAGAAAGAAAGAAAAGGAGGAGGAGAGGATGAAAGAAAGAAAGAAAAAAGCAAGAAAGAGTGAATAAATAAATGAATGAAAGAATTATAAACTACTATAAGTAAGAAAGAAAGAAAGAAAGAAAGAAAGATGGAAGGAAGGAAACACATACAAAAAGAAGGAAGGAAGGAAAGAAAGAAAGAAAAAGAAAGCATGAAAGAAAGAAATGAAAGGTGAAAGGATGAAAGAAAGAAATGTCCATAGAATTCTCAGCATCCTTCCGTTGAAAATTAAAATCTCCTTTGCTTCAAGTAGCCTCTTCATTTGTGATGGAAAATGTCCGCCATTATTGTCCGTGCTATATAGGGAGGATTGATTTTATATGGTTGTTTATCACCCTGTTCTTTATTTCTAACGATACGAGAGCCGTTCAAAAACTTTCTCAGCCTCACCCAGAAGGCGTTGGATAAACAAGACAGTTTTTCCCTATTTTTCAGTATAGCCCCACCCGCCTTGACATCAATGCCTTTGGTCCGACTATGCTTAAGCATTGCAATCCCATTACGGAAGAATGTGGCGTCCTCGTCCTGTAAAAACTCCTCCACAAGACATTATTCTATTTCCAAAATGGCGACCACACAGGTGGGATTTAAATTTAGAAAAAGAAAGAAGTCAGATGGAGCTGAGTCTGGTGAGTAATGGTGATGGGGTAGCAATTCACAGCTGCAGTTGGTTGCTTCAGCTACTTCAACCTGAGCAGTGTGAACGGCCGCAATAGCCTGGAGCAAGAGCACAACTGCCCTCAGCTTCCTTCTATTTTGACTCGATTGATTCTTTCAGTTTTCTTAATTCTGGTGCATTCCGTTAATAACCCTCCCTTTTCCAGTTAGTCTATCAGGATTACACATTCAGGATCCCAAAACCAGAGGCCATCACCTTGCCAACAGATGTTGCCTGTTTGAACTTTTTCGCTTTTAGATTTGTTTCACACCTCTCACCTTTGTATGAATTTCTAGAGAGAAATTAAGTCCCAAATCTCAATTAGTTTTTCTAGTTTTATAAGAAGCGGTAGTGTGTTGCCACGACAACAATGTTGATGGATCTTTTTTTCGGTGGGAGGTTTATAAATTTATAAACGACCCTCGTACAGTAAATCTGTTATGGTAGTATACCCACGCAGACATGGACTCTCCCAGCTATAAATAGGAGCAGGTACTGCCTTTTTTGAGAGAGGGAAGTTTCCAGCAGTCAGCTCTGACAGTCATACCGAACGTTCTTGCTGTAGCACTCTTGTTTGTATATGTTTGTATTACTGTTTCTGTTAATATATTTAACTTAATTCCTCTCTTTTCGCCTTTATTTCTGGCCCTACTCCTCCTTTTTTTCCTCCTCCTCATCGTCGTCGTCCTCCTCCTCGTCGTCGTCGTCCTCCTCTTCCTCCTCCTCCTCCACATTCATATCCCCCTCCCCCTCCTTCTTCTGCGCCTCGTTCTCGTCCTTCTTCTTCAGATATATATATCTGTTTCTATCTATCTATCTATCTATCTATCTTAATCTGTTTTTATGCATATCAATTTTGTATGGTACCCTCCTGTTTCTATATATCTATCTCGATCTCTTCATCTTCTTTATCTATCTATCTATCTATCTGTGTTTCTAACCACATCACTTTTGTATGGGACCTTCCTACATAGAAATTAAGACAGTAATTAGTTTTTTCTAGTTTTAAATGAGGTTGTAGCCATAACAAAAATGTTCAGCTATGACTCTTTTTTCTAGGTGAGGATTATTTACATACATGCATATATATATATATATTAAGAAATGGACAAAGTCCGACAATTTATTTATTAAAGACATATTTATGTTTAACTTTCTTTTTTTTTTTTATAGATACAAGTATTTAAGTAAATGCTCTGTTTATAATAAACAGTATTAAATAACATTTACCGGCCTGAATGCCCGAGAAATTTTCATAGAAAATATTCGTCCTTTGACAGGATTCGAACCTGCATCCTATACGAAACCGTCATTTACGCTGACGTGCCTTACCGTCTCGGCCACAAAGGAGCGTTCGGTAGACAAGGTCGAATTTTATGCCAGAGCAGTTATGAATGTACGAGATTCATGGAAGATTGAAGTTTATAAGCAGTAAATTACGCTCGCAGGGCCATGTCGAGAGATTCGTAGAAGGCATCAATTATGTCCTCGTCGGTATTCAGGGCCGGGACATCCTCTCACAGACGTGTCGTTGCCTTCTTCTGTCTTTTTTACAAATACCTTCACGATAAGTGCTCCGATGAGCTGCTTTCTCTGGTTCCCAGACATCATGAATTTTAGCCTTCTACTAGGCTGGCATCTCGGTCTCGGCTTTTCACTGTCGAAACTGTTAAATGTAGCCGTCTATTCTACTCCAATAGCTTCATGTCTCGCACTTCGCGCCTTTTATCCCCCTTCTTCTTCTCCTTCTCCTCCTCCTCATTCCTTTCCTCCTTCTACTCCTCCTCCTCCCCATCGTTCTCCTCCTCCACCTCTTCCTCATCCTTCTTCTTCTTGTTTTCCTGATAGCTATAATCTCTAACTATTCAAATGTAATGTCAATCGATATCTCCAGATGCCTTAATCTATCCCCTATCCTTCTCTTCATCCTTTCCTCTATCACTCCTCTTTGCTTTCGCTCCAACTCTCCGTAACCCCTTGTGTGCTAGTGGCTT